GTCCATTACTGTACATTTATCAACATGAAATTTCATTTGCCATTTTGCTGCCCAGTCACTTAGTTTGGTGAGATCTTTTTGAAGGTCTTCAAAGTCTGCAATTAAGCATGTATCATAGGGGGGTTGTTGTTCACAGCTTGAAGAGTAGGACAACTGTGAGATTCCCCCAATGAAGGAAAAGGGCTCAATTTACAGCAGAGATCAGGAACCACAGCTCAGATCCACATCACAGCTTCATTTAGTTTCATACCAGGCGCTCGGGGGGAATTTCTTGCCTACTCTGACCCTGCTCTGGGTCTTCACCGGTGGATTTGTCCCTCAGCAGACCCTTGGAGAAAGTAGAACTCGGTATTATTGTCTGTAATGGAATTGTTCTTGGGCTCCTGGTTAGTGACATCATGGGAGTGTAATTCTCAGAGTTACTGCCAATTTCAGCCTGCTGAGCTGCCAGCTGCCTCCTCCCAGCCACTAGCCCCAGAATGGAAGGTGGGGTCAAGAGTTATGTTGCTGGCCTGGAACGCAAAAGACTTGATTCAATTTTCAAGCTCTGCCACAGCCTTCCCCTATGACCTTGTGCCACTCACTTAATCCTTCTATGCCTCAGCACTAAAGTGATGCATCCCTTCGTAACCAGATGGGTGACCAGACCCTGGGAAGCAATGACTGTGAGACAGTCTTGAGGGATGCTGCAAAGCACCCCTTTCGCAGATACTGTGGGCCCCGGGTGCTGTGACATGCCCTGGTAGCACAGCTCTGATGAAACTGTGCTAGCAGGGAGCTGAAGAGGGTCCTAACACAGTAAAGAAGGGCCAATGTAAGGAGCCTTGTGGAATCTTCCATTTCTGGCAGCACCCTGGGCTTGTAATGCAGGGAAGGGGGGTGCTGAAGAGACACGTGCTCCTGTGTTATCATTGATAATTTATTTCACATTAGCATCAAGGTTTCAGCTGTGACAGCATCAAGGTTACCGCTCGGCGGCTCTTGGAGGAGCCGTGTGATTTATCAGCTTCACACAAACAGGGTTCCGGGAATGGAGCCTGCAGCAGGGTTAGCGCCGCAGGCCAGTTGTTTAGCATCATCTCCATCCCCTGGGATTTGCCCTCCTGACGTTTGCCTGGAAATTGCAGTTTAGGGGCCAATGTCCCACTGATCCCCTGGAGAACAGTCACTTCGCCAATAAACCGCCTGTCTTGGTCTCAGTGTATCCCTAGGTGGGGATCCAGGAACAAGAGGTGCAGGCCAGATGGAGGGACTCAATCCTGGGAAGCAGAGACTGAAAAAGTCTGGAGGGATCCCTTCATTAAACTCCTTTAGCAAATCAAGGGGGGCAGAGGCTGCTGTGACAGGCCCGGGTAGCACATCTCTGATGAACCTGTGCTAGCTGGGAGCTGGAGAGGGTCCTAGAGGAGCTGCAGAGGCCCAGAGATTGTGGGTGGCCGGGTCAGGTTACCAGTGGATCACTGAGACCTTTGCCTAACTTTGATAATCCCTAGATCCAGGGGCCGCTTTTCATTGCTTATGGAGAAAGGGACAGACTGATGTGGGAGACATTCCCATGGAAGGAGACACGTGCTCCTGTGTTATTATTGTTATTTTATTTTCCATTAGCAAGTTCATAATTCTGACAGCATCAAGGTTACGACTCGGTTGCCCTCAAAGGAGTCCTATGATTTATCGGACCCACACAAACAGGGCCAGCAAGTCCAGATTGCAGTCACGGACCCTGGAGCAGGGCTGTTGCTCCAGGCCAATTATTTAGCATCCCCCCATCCCCTGGGATTTGGCCTCCTGCCATTTGCCATTGGCTGTGACGGGGGTAAAGCTGGTGCACACGAAGCCAAGCAGCTGAGGTTCCCTGATGGCCAGGTGGCCCCAAGGGAAGGTACAAATATGCTGCATAAAAGAGCTGCCTCCCTACCTGAACACACACTGCCTGCTGCCCAAGTAATGTCTCTCCAGTGATTCCTTACAGCAGCTCCCTTCTAGCAGGAACTGGGTACGTGGGCAGGTGTCACTGTCTGTAACATGCCAAGTGCAGGGCGAAGGCTGCAGGCTGTTTGCACTGGCAGCTGTTCTGAGCAGCGGCAGAGGACTCCGGGGCAGGGCTGGAGGGCAGGCAGCGCTAGGGAGCGTGGGAATCTCCCTCCCATATTCGCGAGCTTTCCAGTGGGTTGCTCAAGCCATACAGCAACCTGGCATGAATCAGCCAATGCCCTTACGGCTACCACATCGCTCCCCCTCTCTGCTCTGCCAGTGCCTGATGTCAGGCCTCCTAGCCTAATCCACCCTCCCTCAGACCGGGCCTTGGGCTACAGCGCACTGTGGGGCGACTGGGCTTCCCAGCACGTCCAAAAGGGTCCAGCACCTCTGGTTCCTAAGTTGGGAGCCTGCTGGGAGTAGTGGGGAGACGAGTGACCTGCCAGTCTTCTAGAGCCAGAATCCTGTTTAACCTGAGCCCCAGGAATAGCACGGGTGAATAAAAGTGTTTTCCATCCACAGTCTGTACACGCCTCTGACCCCAGAGCATCCCTCTCTGACAGGGAGCCAGGCAAGCCACGGGCTTTCAGCCTTCCCCAACCCTGTCTGTGCCGGTCAGTCTGAAGTGCTTCTCAATCACCGCTGCTGCCCCAGGCTCCCTGCTCTGGCAATACAGCTGGAGAACATTGCAGGAGCCTGAAAATAGGGGCTTCCTCAGTGGCTGCTCTCATGTCAACTCTCAGTGTCTGTGAGCAGCTGTTTCCCTTCCTGCTTGTATTCCAATTGCCTGCTAGCAAATTAAGAGGGGCCGGCCAGACTTCCAGATCACCAACAGTGAAGCCAATGTAGCTGTACAGCAAGCATCCGATTAAGTTATCACCCTCAATTCAGGCTTCAGGCTGACAAAACAGAAACCGAGGAGAACCAGTCTGCTATGAATCCAGGGAAGGAGGAAATACTAGACTTGTATTTGCCAGCAAGTGGCAGATTGGGTGCTGAGATGCTGCAATCCCATGACTTCTGCGGGAAATTTGAACAAAAAATATGTTTGTTTAGTCTTTAAAAAAGAAAACTAAGATCATTTGACTCACCTAAAAGGCTGTCACAAGGAGGAGGGAGATGACATATTCCCTTTAAACTCAGATGTTGGGACAAGAAGCAATGATCACAAACTGCTTAGGTTGTTGGACATTCGGAAAAAAGTCCTAATTGTCAGGATTGTTAAGCACTGGGAGAAATTGCCTTGAGGGTTGTGAATCTCTGTCACTGGAGATTTTAAGAACAGGTTACACTATGGGGGGAATGACCTTTTTGGGTTGGGGGCCTCTGATCCACAGGAAAATCATTTGTATCCAGCCCCCGGGTCTTAGGTTCCCCATCCCAGGTTAGATTAACACCTGTTGAATGGTGTTTGGTCCCACCATGTGTGCAGGGGCCTGGATTTGATGACGCCTCGAGGTTGATTCCGGTTCTGTGCTTCCATGACGTTGTCAGGTTCTGCAGAAATCCAGATGACAGATCCTACATTGTAAGACAATTCCAACCTGGGAAATTGCGCCTGAAATGAGAAAAGAGGGGAAGGAATGGATTGAGATGTGTGCACCAAGTTACCAATGTGTAGAAATTATGCCAAAGCCTTTCACTGTATTACAAATATCGTTAACCAATATTTCACGATACGTGTGTATTTAGAAAGCCATCAGCAGAGCTCTTGGATTCTCTACAGGAAGGAGCAGCAGTAACTTTTACTTTTGAAACCATATCACATGTACCCCAAATACTGTTTGCAGCAGGTTGGTTCTATTCACTCTTTGTTAGGTGCACAACTGCATGATACTGTCTCCTGGTTACTGACCAGAAGCTGTTTCTAACACTTACATTCTGGGGCATGAACATTAACTCTATGCAATACCTGGACAAGATTTTCCAAAACATCCCAAAAGAACAGAACTGCTGGTCTGTTGTAGCAAAGAGTAGAGCTGAGAGTCAGGAAAAGGGAGCGTAAGAGTGGTTGTCTGTAATTTTTTCCATCACCTATTAAGTGCACATAGCTGAATTAACTTGCATGTTCAAGTGGATATTAGTGTGAATCCAGTGTCTGCCACAATTAGCTTGTAAGCTCTCCACTGCAAAGCTGAGGTAACTGTCTGTGTCAATCAGAAACGTTGCAGACATCTACCGACTCTTGCATGGGGAGAGGAGTCAGAGCCGAGGACGATGAAGAGAAAACCGTAGCACGACCAAACTCTCTGGCTTCAGTCAACAGTAGCCATGAAAAGCTCTTCAACTTCTCTTACAGTGGTTCTCGGGGGTCTGAGTGTATCACTCGGAGTATTTGTACCAGGGAAGTCGTATTCTCAGGAATGGGAAAAGAGAAAAAAATACATATAATGTGGTAAAGAAGAGTGTTTATAAATAGCTTCAGTGCAGGACTGATACATTCGATGAGCATTTCACCATGCAGCTGCCATCGTTACCACACCTGTAATGTTACAATGGGCCACATGCAGAAGTGCAGGGCCAGTAACAGTGTGTGGAGGAAGCTCACGACTATAAGATCAGAGAGAGATCAACAGTTTCTGCAACTCCCAGGCTCAAGATATTGATGCAGGCCAATGCTTCACAGGATTCAAAGAGGGACGGGATGTTTCTCTGGTTCTATGTAATTGTAGTAGCAAGGATTCAAAAAAAGGTCCTTAAGGGCTCTACTCCTTCATGCCACAAAATATTTCTCACTTGTGGGTGTCAGGGAGAAAATTATCCTGGGAGCAGGCTGTCTGTTAGCTGCCCAAAACAGGGCTTCTTTCACCGTCCTCTGCCCATCTGGTATTGGCCACTGGATACTGGGTCTCCCTATCGGTTGTGTAAATCCAAGCCCATATGTTGGGAAATCTTCCTTGAGAACATGGCGGTTCCCGCGCTTGCAGGAAGAGCAGAAGAATGTTTCTTTAAATTTCACCCACTCTCCTGTTATTTCTCGTTTTAGGAAAGAAAGGTGAAAGCTCACTGGATCTGCCTAGAACATGATGGCAGCTGTCAATGACACCACATTCACACACGCCGTGTTCCTGCTCACCGGGATACCCGGCCAGGAAGACGTTTATCTCTGGATCGCTGTCCTCTTCTGCACATTGTATGTTATTTTGATAGTAGGCAATTCAGTCATTCTGTTCATTATAAAGACAGATTCAGTCCTCCATGAGCCCATGTACATTTTCCTCTCCATGCTGGCTGTCACAGACCTGAGCCTGTCAATAGTTACCGGACCGACAATACTGGGCGTGTTTTTGTTTAACTCTCGGGAGATCAGCCTCCATGCCTGTTTTGCTCAGATGTTCTTCATCCACTTCCTTCAATCCATTGAAACCTCTGTGCTCTTGTTGATGGCCTTTGACCGCTTTGTTGCGATCAGTAACCCGCTGAGATACTCTTCCATCTTAACGCTGCCGAGAATAGCCAACATGGGGCTGGTGTGTGTGCTCAGAGGAGTGACCGTCAAACTCCCACTCCCCCTTCTCCTGCAGCGGTACCGCTACTGTCGAGCCAACGTCCTCTCCCATTCTTACTGCCTGCACCAGGACGTCATGAATATGGCTTGTGCTGAGGTCATGAATATGGCCTGTGCGGACATCACTGTCAACAACATCTATGGCTTGGTTATTACAGTTCTCACAGTGGGGTTGGACTCGCTGCTCATCTTCATCTCTTACCTCCTGATCCTCAAAACGGTGCTGAGCATCGCATCCCGTACGGAGTTCCTCGTGGCCCTGAACACCTGCGTCTCCCACCTCTGCGCCGTCCTGCTCTTCTACACGCTGGAGTTCAGCCAGACTTTGGTGCACAGATTTGCCAAGAGCTCTTCTCCCTTGCCCCATGTGGTGCTGGGCTACATCTACCTGCTGGTCCCACCCCTGATGAACCCCATCGTGTACATTGTGAAAAGCAAACACCTGCGCGCCAGGATCATCAAGATGTTCATCAAGTTATGGGGCAGTTTATCACCCCGCTGTGAAATGAGAGACAAGAATCACAGGCCCCAGCAAGTTATTCCTTCCTAGACCCGTACACCTGTGATGCCTTCAGCTACTGGTCCCCGCTGTGTAGAGATAGATTCAGACGGGCTCTTAGACCTGAAGTGCTGTTAGAGGAGCTGTCCCCACCCACTGGTGCGGGAAGACAAGGCACTGGGGGAAGAGACCAAGGCAGGTGTTCTACTGGCAAAGTGACTGTGCACCTGGAGATCCGTGGTTCATTGGCCCCTAAACTACAATTTGCATGGTTGCTCAGCCTACCAATTCCTGTTGATTGTGTTAATAAAGAGAAGGGAGGTGGCTGTTGTTTCCTATTATAACAATATATACCTATCTGAGGGTATGTCTACAAAACCACCCTAGCTAGAACTAGGGTGGTAGTGTAGACATACCCTTACAGAACTGGAGGAGGTCATTAAGTCTGGTCCCCTGCCCTCATGAGAGTAACAAGGAGCATCTGTAACAGACGTGCCAGAGATCCCTAATAGCCCACCCCAAGAACTAAACTCAAAACCCTGGGTTTAGCAGACCAGAGCACAAACCACTGAGCCAGCCCTTTCCTGTGGCCTGATGCTGTCCCATCTGGTTAAGCATCCACATTTCCTGGAACAGGCATCAGGTCTGTTTAGTTGTCTCAGTCCTGGCCCTTCCTGGGCACTCCGGGTGCTGTGTGATCCCGGGGCTGCCCGGGGCTCCCACCCTTCCCCCCACGACTGTAGCCAGGGGCTTGCGACTGAGTCGTGTCAGAGACGTGATTCGTGCAAGAGCCGGGCCAGAAGCCTCCCCCACCACCGGGATGACTCCGCACATCACACCCCTGCCGAGCCCACTCCCCACCGAGGGGGAGCAGAGCTGGGCGTGTGGGGGAGGGTCTGACACACGGGAGCCCTGGAAAGAGACTCAGGTTCCCAGATTCCCTTCCCCTCCATTTCCACTGCACCAGCATTTAAAAGGGAGAGAAATCGGCCTCAGCTCCTCTCAGAGGCCCAGCGAGCTCCTGTCCCAGCCCAGCGCATTCAGAGCATGGTGGCTCCCATGGCCTTGCACAGGACCCATGCAGGAAGCCCCACCTCTTTCATGGCCTCCCCCATATACCTGAGCAGAGCTGGGAGCGTGGGGGAGGGTCTGACACACGGGAGCCCTGGCAAGAGACTCAGGTTCCCAGTTTCTCTTCCCCTCCATTTCCACTGCACCAGCATTTAAAAGGGAGAGAAATTGGCCTCAGCTCCTCTCAGAGGCCCAGCGAGCTCCTGTCCCAGCCCAGCTCATTCAGAGCATGGTGGCTCCCATGGCCTTGCACAGGACCCATGCAGGAAGTCCCACCTCCGTCATGGCCTCCCCCATATCCCCCTTCTTTCCCCAAAACTCAACTCCTGCCTCCTCGCTTCCCCCCAGCCCTGCCCACTGGCCAGCATGGATGTCAGAACCCCGGTAAGGAGAGCCCAGGGACCACCTGCTGATCTGGGGAACCCTGGATGCTCCCCCTTCTCCAGTTAGGAGGCACAGATGGGGGGAGCAAGGTGAGACCCCATAGCGAGGGGTGAAGAACCTCCCCAGACGCACCCCAGCAAGGAACAGGATGGCGTGGCCTGCTGGCCGTGGGTAGGAATGGATCAGCGCTGCCGGGAGTTCAGGATAAATGAATGTAAGAACATAAGCACAGACATATTGGGTCGAACCAAAGGGCCATCTAGCCCAGTATCCTGTCTGCCAACAGCGGTCAATGCCAGGTGCCCCAGAGGGAGGAAACAAAACAGGTAATCCTCATGTGATCCCTCTCCTGTCATCCATTTCCAGCATCTGACAGAGTGTGGCTAGGGACACCATTCCTACCCAATCTGGCTAATAGCCATTGAGGGGCCTAATCTCCATGAATGTATCTAGTTCTTTTTTGAACCCTGTCAATGTTCTAATCTTCACAACAGCCTCTGGCTAGGAGTTCCACAGGTTAACTCCGCGCTTCATGAAGAAAAACTTCCTTTTCTTTGTTTTAAACATGCTGCCTATTCATTTCAGTTGGTAACCCCTAGTTCTTATGGGAAAAATAAATAACTTTTCCTTTTTCTCTTTTTCCACATCAGTCATAGTTTTATAGACCTCTATCATTTCTCCCTTTAGTCTGCCCTTTTCTAAGATGAAAAGTCCACCCCTTTTTAATCTCTCTTCATATAGGACCCATTCCAATTCCTTAATCATTTTTGTTACCCTTCTCTGAACCTTTTCCAAGACCAATATATCTTTTTTGAGATGAGGTGACCACATCTGCACACAGTATTCAAGAAGTGGGCATGCCATGGTTTTATATACAGGCAATAAAATATCCTCTGTCTTATTCTCTATCCCTATTTAAAATATTCCTCAGGTTCTCTTTGCTTTTTGACTGCTGCTGCACACTGCGTGGATGTTTTCGAGGACTTTCCACAACCACTGCAAGATCTCTCTCCTGAGTAGTTGTCACGCAATGAGTCCCAATTATATGGTCTGGATAGTTGGGATTATTTTTTCCAGTGTCCATTACTGTACATTTATCAACATGAAATTTCATTTGCCATTTTTCTGCCCAGTCACTTAGTTTGGTGAGATCTTTTTGAAGCTCTTCACAGTCTGCAATTAAGCATGTATCATAGGGGGGTTGTTGTTCACAGCTTGAATAGTAGGACAACTGTGAGATTCCCCCAAAGAAAGGAAAGGGCTCAATTTAGTGTTGAGGTCAGGAATCACAGCTCAGATCCACCTCACAGCTTCATTTAGTTTCATATCAGGAGCTCGGGGGGAATTTCTTGCCTACTCTGACCCTGCTCTGGGTCTTCACCGATGGATTTGTCCCTCAGCAGACCCTTGGAGAAAGCAGGACTCAGTATTATTGTCTGTAATGGAGCTGTTCTTGGGGTCTTGGTTAGTGACATCATGGGAGTGTAATTCTCAGAGTTACTGCCAATTTCAGCCTGCTGAGCTGCCGGCTGCCTCCTCCCAGCCACTAGCCCCAGAATGGAAGGTGGGGTCAAGAGTTAAGGTGCTGGCCCGGAACGCAAAAGACTTGACTCAATTTTCAAGCTCTGCCACAGCCTTCCCCTATGACCTTGTGCCACTCACTTAGTCCTTCTATGCCTCAGCACTAAAGAGGTGCAGCCCTTCGTTACCAGATGGGTGACCATACTGTGGGAAGCAGTGACTGTGAGAAAGTCATGAGGGATGCTACAAAACACCCCTTTTGCAGATCCTGTGGGCCCCGGGTGCTGTGTAATGGGCTGGTAGCACAGCTCTGACCAGCCTGTGCTAGAAGGGAGCTGAAGAGGGTCCTAACACAGTAGAGAAGGGCCAATGTAAAGATCCTTGTGGAATCTTCCATTTCTGGCAGCACCCTGGGCTTGTAATGCAGGGAAGGGGGGTGCTGAGGAGACACGTGCTCCTGTGTTATCATTGTTATGTTATTTTACATTAGCAAGATCATCACTGTGACAGCATCAAGGTTACCGCTCGGCGGCTCTTAGAGGAGCCGTGTGATTTATCAGCATCACACAAACAGGGCCGGCGAGCCCAGGTTCCGGGAATGGAGCATCATCTCCAAGCCCTGGGATTTGCCCTCCTGGCGTTTGCCACTGGCTTTGACGGGGTTAAATCTGGGGCACATGAAGAGTGGGGGTCTGGGCCCCTTGAGCAACCCCTGCCCACGGCTGGGGCAGCCCCAGGATCACACAGCACCCAGAGCGCTCAGCAAGGGCCAGGACTGAGATCACCAAACACCCTGCGGGAGCCATTGCCAGGATCTTTAACCAGATGGGATGGGGACAAGCCAGGGGTCATAGAAAACAACAGCCACCTCCCTTCTCTTTATTCACAAAACCAACAGGAATTGGGAGGCTGAGCAGCCTGGAAATTGCAGTTTAGGGGCGCATGTCCCACCGATCCCCTGGAGAACAGTCACTTCGCCAATAAACCGCCTGTCTTGGTCTCAGTGTATCCCTAGGTGGGGATCCAGGAACAAGAGACGCAGGCCAGATGGAGCGACTCAATCCTGGGAAGCAGAGACTGAAAAAGTCTTGAGGGATCCCTTCATAAAACTCCTTTAGCAGATCAAGGGGAGCAGAAGCTGCTGTGACAGGCCCGGGTAGCACATCTCTGATGAACCTGTGCTAGCTGGGAGCTGGAGAGGGTCCTAGAGGAGCTGCAGAGGCCCAGAGATTGTGGGTGGCCGGGTCAGGTTACCAGTGGATCACTGAGACCTTTGCCTAACTTTTGTAATCCCTAGATCCCGGGGCCCCTTTTCATTGCTCTTGGAGAAAGGGACAGACTGATGTGGGAGACATTCCCATGTAAGGAGACACGTGCTCCTGTGTTATTATTGTTATTTTATTTTCCATTAGCAAATTCATAACTCTGTCAGCATCAAGTTTACAGCTCGGCTGCCCTCAAAGGAGTCCTATGATTTATCGGACCCACACAAACAGGCCGGCAAGTCCAGATTCCAGCCACAGACCCTGCAGCAGGACTGTTGCTCCAGGCCAGTTATTTACTATCCCCTGTGATTTGCCCTCCTGCCGTTTGCCATTGGCTATGACGAGGTTAAAGCTGGTGCACACGAAGCCAAGCAGCTGAGGTTCTCTGATGGCCAAGAGCCCCCAAGGGAAGGTTCAAACATGCTGCATAAAGGCAGCTGCCTCCCTGTCTGAACACACACTGCCTGCTGCCCGTGCAACCTCTCCAGTGACTCCTTGTGCTGTTGGGTGAAGACCTCTGGTGCCAGCAGCTCCCTTCTCGCAGGAACTGGGTACGTGGGCAGGTGTCACTGTCTGTAACATGCCAAGTGCAGGGCGAAGGCTGCAGGCTGTTTGCATTGGCAGCTGTTCTGAGCAGCGGCAGAGGACTCCGGGGCAGGGCTGGAGGGCAGGCAGCGCTAGGGAGCGTGGGAATCTCTCCTCCATATTCGCGAGCTTTCCAGTGGGTTGCTCAAGCAGTACAGCAACCTGTCATGAATCAGCCAATGCCCTGACAGCTGCCGCATCGCTCCCCCTCTCTGCTCTGCCAGT